CTTGCACTGCGAGGTGGGCATTCTAGTAGGTACTCTTCTAGCATCAATTTTCCTAATGTTTATGGAGCCCATCCACACAGGCACTCTATGTGGCTAGTGTATGCACGTGTGTGGACGTGAGGCACTCTAAGTTTCAGTCCGTGGCTATATACACATATTTATATATATATATGTATAAATACAAAATCAATAAATATCAACGTAATATATTACGAAAGCCAGCCGATAGGCTAGGCTGGAGTTGTAGATGTGCGTTTTGGGGGGTGTGGGGGGGGTGGCCGCACAGAGGCCAATTTGGGAGGGCGAACACAGAGCCGGGTGGGGGAGAGCGAAAAACAAGATGAGCAGAATGGCAGTGAAAATGTATTGTTTTTTGTGATACAAGTGATGTAATTCACGGCGAAGAGTGCATCATTAGCATCATGAGGGGCTTCGGAGGCAATGTAACCAGTCTTCTACCAGGGGTGGGAGTTGACGTTTTAATGGTGAAGCGGCATAGTAGCCAGGCGCAACAGGGCACCCCAATAGGGGGTGCCCATTTTTTTTTGTGAAGACGCCTGCTAACCATACGCAAAACTGCACCATATGGGGCGGGGGCAGGAGAGGGAACAGAATGCAGTGGGCCAGCTTTGAGTTGCTTGGGGGCGCTCTTTTTCTATGGTGAGAAGCAAACGGGCGCCCCATATGGGGTGGAAGTTTTTGGGGAGGAGAGGGCAGGATGTGATAGGAAAACAGGTGGGGAGCTCACAGGGAAGCGAGAAGTGCCACGCTCAGCACTCTGGGGAGAACGCGACTCTGGAGGATAGAGGGAAGGGGATGATGATGGGAAAAGAGGTCGGAAATACAGAAGGAAAGTGAGATGTGTGTCTCCGAACCACTTTCTCCTGGTGAGTAAGGAAGGGAACGTCAGTGGGCTCTGGTGCGGATCGAAGTTCAGGCTATGCACTGTAAGGGTGGATGGGAGTGGACGCAGGTTTATGTCCATCCACAAAACACGGAACCAAACCGCGGTGACTTCGGGGTGCCCTTTTTTCTCTTCCAAACGCCCCTTCCTCCAAAAGAAAAAGGGCGCCCCGACCCCCACACCTGTGACTGAAGGCCTGTCACGTCGGCCCTGCTTTATGCCTCCCAACGCTTTCCCTGCGCTCTCGCGCTCACCCCCGTTCAGGTATAATATACACCGTGTTCCTTCACCGGCACGCATGCAAGAGCTGTCCACACAGCCATAGAGAACGGCGTCACATGTTCCAAAGCAGAAAGTAGAAAAGTTTTCTGGGTCCTCCGTCATCGAAACGCTCCGATCACCAAGAACCCACGGGAAAAGAGTACCGCACCTTCATGGACCGCCGGCCCCATCTGTCAAAAAAAACCATGCAAATATGCAGAAGACCAAACATCTAGCGCACGCATTCTAAGTCGAAGGGCCGTAAGGGTATCCAAAAAAGTCCCGAACTCAAGTCCGCTAGTTTTTCAGGGTCCATATTTCCACCTTTTGGTTTCCAAACGCACGTTCTGAGTTTCACTAGCCAACTATTGCAAACAAAAACATTGAAAAACATATGTTGGACTAGAAGTTGTATGTAAGACACATGTCCGCAAAGAGAAGGTTTGTGCTACAAAGACAAACCTTTGTGGAAGCCAAGTGGCGCCCACTAAAGAAACCATCCAAAAGTTGTTTTTCCTGTGTGTTTATTTGTTGCCTTCTTGGGAGGGCTTTTGGTTTTCCGATTGCAGTGGCTGGAAAATTAAGTTTTCATTTGTTGGCGTACGACGCCAAAAAATTTAAAACAGATGTGATAACAGCGTCACCACTTGATGTTATTGTCCTGCCTTGCGCTTTGTTTATAGGAATTGTTGAGGGGTGGTTGGTTCTTAGACCAACAAAAACACAACTCCTCTCGAGAAAAATGCAAAACTGAGAATCAGAAAGCGCCAACTTGGATGAAACCATCTGAATGTTGTTTGTTTGGTGTTCGTGAGGTTTTGTGTTGGTTGTGTGAGTGGTTCCACAAATGGACAACAACTTTGCAGACCTTTTCTTTTGCGTCAATGTCAGATTCGAAGGCTCACCAGCTTCAACTGCAATGTGATGCCTCAATTAATCAAAGATATATTGCCTTGCGTTTCAGGATTGGAGGTTGCACAGTCTGGAAGAATGAAACCGAAGACAAGAACCACTAACCTACATTGGTCCGGGTTGCCTACTGTGGAACACATCCATATATAACTCATAGTTGTTGCGTTTGGTTTTTGGTTTTGGGTTCAGTCGAGTCTCTTGTGAACCGGTTTGTCATGGGAATGCAAACAGGACCTAATACTTCACTCGTCCAATTATAACTTTTTAGATTCACCTGCTGCGCCATACTAGCTACTCCTGCCTTTACTGAATTGTGTTTCAAAATCAGTTGTGAAACGGAAGTTCGATGGTCCATGGAGAATCGGTCATAGCTGTGTCAAATTTAACGGACCGCGGCTCAAGATAGATCGCACGCGGAACAAAGAGCACGCGTCGCGCTGCTTTGGCTCACTTGGGCGGTTGTTTCAACCACCAACAGGTACAAGAATCTAAACCGAACGCCGGATTCGAGACGGCTATTAACACGATGGCCTGACCTATCCGTGGCCCAAAACACATCGTAGTCAGCGGTGATCTTGGCCGGTGGATCCAAATTCAAGCTCATTGCGACGGCATCGTGCTGCGTCCGATTTTTTCGCAACGGGAACTCTCTTTCCGCGTGCTCTGTTGAGCCTCCGCTTCAGGCATCTTCTCCTGGAGGTTGATTCAGCCATTTGATGAACTCTTCAATGGCTTGGAGGAACATGTAAGAGGCGAAGATGATGCCGAAAAATACAGCGCTTCATTGTGAAGCCTGTCGCCATGATCGTGACTTTCTGAAGTCCACCGGTCCATCGGAGAGCCTTTCTTTGATCTCCTCATCACTCTTGAAGAGGTTTGCCTCACTCAGCTCCAGAAGTACTACGAGTGTGCAGAGCCATTCAAGTGTGTATGCGGTCAACGAGGACGACGTTATTCACTCCATCCTGGTGAGCATGTTGGGCGAAGGCTCGGAGTGCGCAGTTGATGCGCGGCCTTCTATGCCCGAGATCCTTGCAGGGCGCGCTGGCCACCAAGGCAAAGACGTCAGCAGCCAGCTCAAATTTGGTTTGGTGGGGACTGATAGGACATACAGTCCTTGGTCGCTCATCAGTCTTGACTTCATCGTGGCTCTGGCGTCTGAAGCGTTTGGCTGCTTCAATGACCTCTTTTTGTGGGACACGCGCAGCATCGGGTGTGCTGCCACTGGCTCAGTGCCGCGCCAGCACAACACGCGAAGGCCCCCGACACTTCCCAGACAAGTTGATGTGACAAGCAAGTCTCCCGTTGGAGACATATCAGTTGTGTCACACTGATAAGAACAGATACTACACTTGATCACAGCCGACAGGCTGAGATGAAAGAGAAGTTTTGTGCACTTGCGATGGACGGTGTCAACGTCAACAGCTTGAAGGAAACAAGACAAAGAAGGCGCAACAAAGGCCACGTCTCCTTTGAAAGGCGATCTTGGAAGGCGCGCTAAAAGACATAAAAGCCCGGGCGATTCAATTGCCGACGTGCACAAGGGCGCTGATCCATGAGCTGGACGACGTCGCGGGCCGACTTCAATTTTGTGGGCATGGATGAGGATCATGAACAAATGAAAGAGAGGGCAGTAGGAGCTTTGCTGCTCGAAAAGGAGAAGATCCGAAAGGACAATTTGCTGAAAATCAGCCGAGAACAAAGAGTTGCTGTACTGTCAACTGGTTTCGCGGCTGCTTGTCCATCATGCTGGTGAAACTAGTGTGTACATCAAATTTTGAAAGGGATGAGATAAGCCCGACCATTGTGCAATGTCACAAGTGTTTTGCGCAAAAAAAGTTTGAGGAGGAGATAGTATGACTTGACCCCTCTTCTTCAATCTTATTTTTCCGATGCCTCTGCCAAGTTGATTTGTCCCACGTGCAGGAGTTTGTGGTTCCAAGCCCCCAGGAAAGGAATTGCATCTTATCAAAATCTGGCAAACCTGAACTCGTTCCCCGTCTAGTCAGTTCCAATACCCTTTATGACTATGCAGCTGGTTCCCGATGCCAGTTGGTGTCTGTTCTTCTTACCCAGCGTTTCCTGCTAAGTAAGTTAGCCTCTTCCTGTTTTTTTTCTGCAATCTTTGTTTCCTTCCTATTCTTTGGCCAAAAGTTTGCGTTTTCACACGTTGTTTTTTATTACTGAAACTGCGCTATGTGCATGGAACCACCTCCCAACCCCTAGACGACTCCAAATGATGTGTTTTCAAAGAAGCAGGTGGTGAAGTGCCATCCTTTGAGAGGGGAGGAAGAAAGTGCAGTGCGGACCAAAAATGCGTCCCCAACCAAGACCACAAATAACCTCAAAGACCTATTCAACAATGACCGGTCCCACCTGCCCAACTTCCTCCACCAACGACATCGGTGCAGGGTGGGTTGGGCGAGCAAGCTAATCGAGGTTCCCTGGAGCCACAATGGTACATGGTTCAAGAATGGAATCCCTGCCACCTTGCAGTGCTATTGTTCTATTGCACCAATTTTTGGTTTCACGAAACTGCGCTATGTGCATGGAACCCCCTCCCAACCAACTCTAGGCAACTCAGAACGACATGTTTTCCGAAGCAGGTGGTGAAGCGCCCTCCTTTTGAGATATTGCCCTTAACCCTCCAAAAAAGATTTTCTAAGGCATTCGCCTTTGAGCAACCCAACGAAAGCGATTATGGCAAGTTTGGTTAAAACGCCCTGATACGCAATGAAAAGCAATACCTCAGACATATGTTACGAAGGGCGTGCAATTCCCGATAGCGCGTCTTTTTTCTAGCGATGGGGTGGCAGACTTCCAAACTAATTATTCCACAGACAAACACCTAAAAAGGCAGATGTGTTTCCGGGTTGAATGCGAGGAAGTTTGGAAGTGTTTGTCATTTGCCCTACTCGATCAGGCAGCAGCCACTGCAGGCAAAGGCACGAAGGCAGACCGCGCTATTTCGCATTGATGCAAAGTACAATTTGCAGAACAAACTACTGTGGTTGGTTGGTTAAACTTGAACGGAGGGTTTGAGCCTACTACTGAACATTGTTTGATGCATCGATATCGTTCCATTATCCTTGTATGCTGACTTGTCAGTCCTTGAAAAAGAAAGACGCCTTGAAGATATTCCAAGCAGATGGCGTGCAGGATGCCATCCAGGACTGCTTTCCTGTGGGGCCAAGACAGGTCGAATTCATGTGGCTCAAGTTGTCAGACAGTTGTCACGGTGTTCAATGGTTTTCACACGTCAATTCAGAGACCCGGAGGACTTCTCGTTCACAGAATTTGTCGCAGCAACTTTCAATCGCAAGAAATGCCTCACTGAGAAGGTTGGCCGCGTGATTTTCAACAGCTGCCTGGCTGCAAGTTCATGTGGCCGTGCGGCTTGTGAGATGCTTGCAGATTTTGTCTCATTACCAGGCTTTGACAAAAATATGGATGGAAGCATCCAATTGAGCAACTCGGTGGCATGGCCTTGCTAGCTTGATCTCAGCACAGCCTGTTTTGAACATTACACTTGTCCAAGGTGAGCTTGCAGAAGGCATGCTGGGATTGACGAGAAATGCGCATGGTGTTTTCCACCAAGGTCAGAACAAAAACCCAAAAAGGTCAGATCTCTGGCCGCCCTTTGCCAAGGGTTCTGTAAAGATACTGTATGTGTATTCCTGTGAGATTCGTAACACAATTGCGGGGGGGAGGTTTTTGCGGTAGCCGCACCAATCACCTCTGGAGTTCATTATGTACGGTTGCTTTCATTTTGCTCTTATTTGCTTTCGTTCTGCTGATTCTTTTTGAGCTGAATTGTCAGTATAAAAATGGATCCTGACTATTATCATGCCTCCATAACCCTGATTTTGGTTGCGCAACATATAATTAAGGATTGTTTGCAAATTTTTTGAATTTTATAATTAAGGATGACCTGCTTCAAACAAATTATTATACATTATTATTACTATTATTATGACATAGATTTCATTTGAAAGAGCATCTCGTTTAGGAAAACAAGAAACAATTTGGACAGTTGATGCTTGAAGTTTTGGGTCTCCGCCCTGCTTTGCTGTGCGATGCACATCTCCAGCCGCAGGCCGTTTGCTAGGCCACCTTCAAGCGACCGAGTTGGCTTGGCACTGAGTCTTGATGTTAGCGTGGGCAGTTGCAAGATGTTGCAAACATCAAAAACTTGGGCAAGCTCGAATGGTTCTTACACTGTGACTTCGAACGATCAGGTGCAAACATTGAAAGATTTGGACTTGAACGGTGATGCAGAGATTGACTTCAAGGAGTTCATGGCAATGTGTCGAGAGTGAAGTTGCTCATTACATGGCCCGCTTTGATTTTCTTCCGCATATACATGCGGAACCTGTTTGGAAGTCATCAGTGCACAGTTCACATCACAAATTCTGGACTTTTTGTACGGTGCGTATGTTTTGTACAGACATCGTTCGGTTCCGCCTACCCAGAATGTTTTGCAGCAACTGCTTGTGTTGCAAAGCGGTGACAGTATATGATAGCAGTCAACAAATGCAAAGCAAATTGAAAAAATACAGCAGTAGATGATAATTCTTTGGTTCGATGTGGACTTTGTCAATGGCAACCCGACTCCGATCAACCGGAAGTTGGTTCGGCTTTTGGGTCACCTGAAGGGTACCCAGCAGCCCCGCGCAGCCCCGTGCCCGCACCTGCCTGGACGGATTGAGTCGGACAGGGCGCTGAAAACCACTATCTCCAGAAGTGGAACAAAATGTGAAAAGCAACTACAAGCAACTATACACTTGTCTTGTAGCCGCCTGCAACTTGGAAGAGTTGTGTTTTCACCATGGCAACAAAATAATTAGAGCAACTGATCTAGCACATAGATTGTCTAACTCTTTGCCAGGTTATGTGGATGATTGTCAGCCTTGTGGAGGTTGGGATCGTAAAGACACACAGCTTGAGTAGTGTTGACTTGAGAAGTTCCCTTGCGATGTAGGTAGAGTCGTAGAGGTCATGTCCATCCCCCTGAGGCCTTGTGGCCTCCGTCACGTTTCTTGTCCATGCAGCACGCTCAGACCTGCAAAACATGCAACCTTGCAGATGAGCCAGCGGAGTTCTTAGGTCAGAAGCTGTCATGCATTTTGAAAGCTTCGTGCGACCACAGGCTGGGACATTGGGGATTGCATGCATCTCTAGCTCAAGAGGAGATATATACGTTGTTTGTTCCATACAAGTTCTATCACTATGTCACACCTAACTTGGCCTTTTTAGTTCCTTTGTGCAGCATGAGGCTGACCTTCGGATTGAGGCGAGAGATGCATCCAGGGCGGTGAATTGATGTAGAGCCAGGATTGATCCATACAGCGTGCCATCAGAGAGCCATACGCTTTGCGCAGTTTGGGCATTTGTGCATGCTTCTGCGCTCATATGGCATTTGTGCATGCTTCTGCGCTCATATTATTCCGTTCAAAATTGAAACAAGGCAGACAACCTGGATATGTTCAACAACAACTTTCCATATCGCCGCACTGGAAAGGGACTTCGGGTCATTTTCCCGGAGGTGCTCTCACGTGCGAGTTGGTTTCGTTTTCTTGGTTGCTGCCAGAAAAAGGATGGAAAAGGAAGTAGGCAGGGAGCTGTGATACCCGAAAGAATAAGATAAAGTGAGCGAAGAAACGCTCGCTTATGGTGTCATGTCTTTTTTGAAGAAATCAAAACAGTTGCTAAATGGTATATGAGCAAAGGGCCATAGTCTTTGCAATTGTTGGACGCTACAGCAAGTAAAGAAATCGTGTAAAGGCTATGATCCACTGGTGATTGGAGAGTGGACCTCGGAATCCCCCTTCTAGCTTCGTGTTACTACTAGTAACAAGTGCCTCGCTAGTAGTAACAAGTGCCTTACTAGTAGTAACAATAAGCTATTAGAATTAAATTAAGTTAACTTCTATCTATTAAAAATAGCTCACGCCAAGCCCAACAACCTTGAATGCACCCCCGAACTTTACATCCAATGCCCTGCCGCTAAGCTACTACAACGGCGTCTCCATGCAAGGTGCTCCGACCATACGTGACCAAGGATTTGCTGGCCCGCCTCTTAGTCCCTTTAGTTGGGAATTTGCAACACTTTGGCATTCAACACTGAGGTGGAGTCATTGGAGGACGGCGTGCCGTTGCAAGCCGTTCTTGGGAAGGCCTGTGAGACCTCCCATGAAGTTTAGTGTTGTTTGATTCCATTTGCAAGGATGCTCGTGCTAGCCGGGACTGCATGGCCCTGAGAATGTTCAAGTCTTCACACTGGAGCCAGACGGTATTTCGCTAGGCAAAGCAGCCCCACCGCCAACTCCAGTCGAAGAGCTTAGGGAAGAGGCCTGGGGAGTGGACTTTCTGTCAGTCTATTGGTTGGCAAATTTGACCACAAGCAGGTTGGAGGACTCTGCATGGATGCGTGTCTCAGCAGAATTGGCTATTTGCTTGACTTGTGATGGGCTACGTGTTGGGAGTTGGGTTCAATAATCAACAGGCTCACTCAGATGTGGACCAGTTTGATTTTTGCAGGTTTCTGAAGATGCTTTTTGCAGACAACTTCATCCACGCGGTCGTACTGGCAGACTCTTCCGTTGACGCACACCTTCCTGAAAGATCTCGAAAGAGGGTAAAGCTGTGCGCGATGCCAGGATCTTCATCCTGGAAACATCCACTTTCACCGACGGCGAGTTGGTGGAGTCAGGGCCACGGTTTTGTGCTCAACAACGAAGCCCTGTTGGCCCAAGCCGTGCCGTGTCAAGGACACAGGTCCAGTGCAATCAGAATTGGTGTGGAGCTCGGTGTACCGCACTGTACTGTCACAGTCACTCGCACTCCCGACGAGACCATTGATTTGTGCAGAAAAGATCAGAAAAGAACTGGGGAAAGGAGAGAACCTTGCCTGCTCAAAAATCATTACAACAAAGCTTCAGTTCAAGTTTGCATCCAGCACTTGCTGCAAAGGGTGTCCCAAAGGGTGAGTGGAGTGAAAGTGGTGTAAATGTGTAAATGTTCTTCAAGGCTTGCATACCTTCCAGAATAAGCTTGTAGATACTGTAGAATGAAAATAGCCAAAGGAACGCTGTTTGCCATGTTGCAGTGCAATTTCAAGGTCATATTTGATGCTGGTCTTGCTGTGCAGATGTCTCCAAAGGCCGAAATGTTTGCAAAATGTTGAGCTCCTCTACAAGTCGCTGTGCCTCAAATGCTTTGCAGGACCGGCGCAACTTCGTTGATGTTTTTTATGCCGCTGGACAGCGGAGTGTGCGTGAGTTTGCAAGCAGCATTTGCCAAACCCAGGCTCTAACAACGAATGATGGTAAGAGGGCAGCCCAATTGATGGTGTCAAGCTCGGACAGCAGAACAATTCGCTTGTGCAAGAAACAAAGACGTCAAGGTAGAGCGCACTCCTGGCGATCGGTCTCTTGTGCGCCGCTTGACTGCAAGACTGAGTCTTTTTTGTAAGCGTGTGCATACAAGAGAGAGAGAGAGAGAGAGATGGCAGCAAAAAGAAAGTCAAACTGCATCAAAAAGAAGGGAAGGGACGGGTGAGGGGTGAAAGAGTTGTGAGTGTGAGAGGGGCGCCACTCCCTCGACAAAACTAGAAGATGTGCAATCCCCCAAACACCAAGCACAAGCGAAAACAAGTGAATGCTGTCACTGCAAAAAGCGAAAAAGCAAGCCAAGCGCTCTTTTGCGTTGCGAACATCGTTGTCTGTGTAAAGTAGCATCGGGCGGCAAACACATGCAATCAACGAGGAAAGCTCAAGCACACAAGCACACATTGGAGAAAGAAGCTGTTGTCTTGTTGTTGCAGCTGTTGCCATGCGTTGCTTCCTGCGCTCTCTCTGGGCTCTTCTGATCCCCGCTCGCCTTTCTTCTTCTGCTTTGTCATCTTGGGTTTCCACCAAGCACAGCTTGCCACTATGGCGAAATTGCTGCAAAAGCTCGGTGCCCATCTCTTTGGTGAGCGGGTCGGCGACCTGCTTCCAGGTCGGAACCCATCGGAGTTGAAGGATGCCATCCTCCACCAGCCTCTTGACCATGAGCATGTCAAGGGCTGTTTGCTTTTCACTGGCCATGCTTCCTGTCTTATTGACATGGTCATTCAAGCCCTTGGCATCGGTGATGATCACACCACCGGTCTTCAGCTCTCGGCGCCATTGGGGTGTGGTCTCAGTACACCCATGGTACATGGCGTCGAACAAGGCCCTGTTGTACAGAATGCGGTCGGCTGCTGAAGTCATAGAGCATGACTCTGCTGCAGGGGAGGAGCGCACCACTCTATGGACTTTACTGTTGTGGAACTGCAAGACACTGGCCTTAGTCGGTGCCTGTTCCACTCCCTTCCCAGTGTTGAAGTGGAATTTAAGATTGTTGTGCACTCAGTGACTCCGATTTGCCAAGCGATGCATCGGAGTATGAGATCAGTACAGGCTCTCCTGGGATTTGCTCCACCTTCAGCTGCAGCCTTCTTCATCAGGGCGAGAAGCTGGTTGGCTGTGACCAGATCTTTGCCTCGCGCTTTGGAGACTCCTTGAGCAAGGGTGCTGACACGACACAAAAACTCACGCGTCACCAAATGGGCCGGCCACCTCCACTGCATCACCAGACGGCGGTATGCCGACAGTTGATCTCCTTCGAGACTCTTCTCCTTTTCTGTCTTGACTTCTGCCGGCTGGATTTTCTCCACATACTCTGTCATGTCGTCCACAAAGCTGGACCCTTGCAGGCTGGTGTTCACTCCCAAAAAGGTGATTGCCTTCTTGCTCATGTCTTGGAGCTGATGCTTTGTTGGATTTCTTTCTTTTGAAGTAACCAGGAGGCCATCGTCCACGTGTAGACACAATACTTAGTCATCTGTACTGCTGCCCAAGTTGTCGTGATGCATCTGACCTGAAAGATCCTGGGTGTGGATCTAAGAACCTTGATTTGGGTTGGAATCCTCCATGCAGGGCTGCCTTGTTTACCCTGATCATCCGGGCTGGCGCACGAAACACATCCTTGTAGTCCAAGGCCTTAATTTCTTCATCATTCAGCCTTCGGACCACCTTGTTGTCGATCCATGACGTCCATTCTTTGGCATCACTCTCATCGAAAACCTTTCTTTCTTCACTGCTGAAATGACGCCGGTCAAGTTCCTTTCCATTGGCCTTGTTGATCAGCAGGAAGCCATACACCTGGTCATCCCCCTCCGTTCTTCTCAGCCGTTGCCACTCTTCAAAGTCTTCCACCGTGACTTCATATGTGGCAGCTCAACTAGCACCTTTCCTTCCTTTGGCTCTGGTTTCTTTTCTCTCGCGAAGAAGGTGACTCCTGTCCAAGCATGAGGTGACTTTCTCTTTGGTCTCATCTGGACCTCTTCACTACTCTCTTGACACACCATTGTTGTTCCACTCTTCTCCCAAACAGCCGAGTGCTTCTTCCTTTGTCCGTCTTTGGTGGCTTCTGAAATCGCTTTGTTGGTGCCATGTGGTAGCGCAAGCTGGTGATGGGAAGATCCATCTCCCATCTTCCTGACTTCCTCTTGGGAAGCCCATTCATTTGACCTTGAGGTCTGTGCCACCAAGCTCAGCATACTATAGTGCATCATCTCTGGTGTGAACCGCTGGTGAAGTTCTTCTTCTGTCAATCCGGCTTGCGGTCCATCTTCTTTTCTTCTATGCTTCAGACCTATAGGAAAATCGTCTTGCAGGAAATCACGAAGTCTCTTTTTGTACCCCTCTTCTTCTTGGGGTCCCAGCTGCTTCAAGGCTTCCTTCAAAAGGTGTTTGTTGATTTCCTGCATCTTGTCTTCCTCTTCTTCTTGCGACTTCTCAGATGGCTCTTGTACGGCCGGAGCTTCTTCTTCTTCTTCTTTCTCTTCCTCTTTCTCCTTCTTTCTTTTACGGGCAACATTGATGGCTTCACCCAAATTCAACTTCATCTTCTCTTTCTTATCCTTCTAAGCTCTTTGCAATCTCCTTAGCTTTCTGCTTCTTCCATCTTCCTGGCTTCTGGACGATCACTTCTTCTTGAGGGACCCATCCGATCTCTATTTTGTCTCCTTCTTCTGGAGGTACTTCAACCTGTGTCATGTCTTCGAACTCCTCGTCGCCATCCCACTTCTTCTCAAAGTGATCTAGCTCTGCCAGCCATCCTTTGAAGTCGCCTCCTTCAAGTTCTGAGCACATTCGAAGGTTTGGAGCGGCCACCAACAAGCATCTACCCCTCCAACTAATGTAATAGCGCTCACCAATCTCCTTCATGAGAACGACGGCTGGGCCTCGCCAAGCTCCCCCTTCTCTTCGAAATCTCTTGGCGGTTGCCTTTGGGGCGTAGAAGAACACCATCTCTCCAAATATAAACTTGATGTTGCCAGGAGGCCATCTACGGAGAGCTGTTTTCAACTTGTCCTGGCAATCCTGCCTCATCAACGCAAGCTTTGCTGCCGCCCGCATTTCCGCACTTCTTTGCACTTCGCCTTCTGTGCTGAGTGACTCTTGTAGAGCCAAGTTGCCAGTGCTGTCCTCCTCCAAAAGGTCAGGAAAAGACGATCTGGTACGGGGTGAAGCCTCCCCGCGTGATGGTTTGATTCTTTCCTTGAATGGCATCGGCATCTCTTCTTTTCCTTTGGCCTGATATTGCCATATCAAAGCATGCCATGCATGCCCCAACAGCCCCCCATGTCGTTCAGAGAAGCCATGTTGCCATCCAGCCCCGGCTCCAATGCGTCTTGAACGCACTCCGTGCATCTCCAGCCAGCCAATGAAGACACCGCCAAACTCCCCTCCTTGGTCCGGTTTCTGGTGTGCCGTAGATGGAGCGCCAGTGGTGAAGAAACTTGCTGGCTACATAATCTGCCTTGCGAGTCTGAAGAACACAGGCAGCATGAAACGAGGTGCCACCATCAACCATGCTGAGAGCCAAGTGGAGTTTGTTGCTGTGATCGTGCATGTGCTTGAGGTCCAAATGAACTTCCTTCCCAAAAACAGAGGTGCGAGTGAAGGGATTCACCTTTGGATTTCTTCCTGAAGGGATTCACCTTTGAATTTCTTCCAGGTGCACTCACTGCACGGCAGGTTGGACATTGATAGTCCTCGGCTCCCTTGAGCATCTCTTTGCTTGCGCCTGCCAACTTCAGCATCCTCACCAGAGTGTCTTTGGTGGGATGTCCCAGTCTTTCATGCGCCTTTGCAATCTTCCACTTCAAACTTTCTTTCTTCACTTCTCCCATGGCCTTCTTGTTCTTCTTCCTTCTGATCTTCATGTTCTTCTTCTTCCATGAAGCCTTGTTCTGGGACACAACCTCCTTCAGCCATCACGTCACGCTTTCTTTTCTGCCCCTTCAGGAACTGTTCTGCCCCTTGAACCACCTCCTTGGCAAACTTGGTGGTATAGCCACCGGCAAAGGCTGAGACTGGTGTCCACTTGCCGTTGATCTTGGCCCCTCACAAATCGTGAATGGCATGCCATTGAACGCTTCTTCTATCAGCGGCTCTTTCCATGCCAATGAAGGCTTGGGATTTTCACCCAAGAGGGCCCCACCTCTTCTTCGCTGTGCCAAACTTGCGTCCCTCACGAACCTCAAAAGGGTTCTGTTTTCTTCTCTCTTCTGTGCCAGCTTCACTCTTTGTAGGGGCGTCTTGTTCCCCGTGTCTGCAAGGGACTCCATGGACCGCAGGGCCATGCCAGCACCAGTAGATCGGGATCAACCCGCTCTAGGTATGCCAATGCCTCATTGTAGTCTGTCTCCTCAAGCAGGTTCCAATGTAGGTCACTGGCTCATGAATGTTCCAATGGCGAGCTGCGGCCACCAAGGAGATGGCACAGGTCCAAGTGAAGACTTCATCTTGTCCGCGTGGGACGGGCATGACCCCCTGAGGCTTCTTCTGGCTTTCCTTCTCCTGATGAAATGTCTCACCAATCTCATGGACATGATGTCCCAACTTTCGCCGCAGGCTCTTGTTGATGGTCTTCTTTGGCTTCTCCTCAGCTTCATATTCTCTTTCTGCAGCTTCTTCAGTGGCTTGGGACCTGTCGTGAAGATAGAGCGCGTCAAAGATCGCCACCAGATCCAAAGTGCTGCGCCTGCCACGAAATCTGCACGTCGAAGTAAAACCGCTCCGATCCCTTGCGCCTGCCACGAAAAGTGACCACCATGTCCGAAAATGCGCGCGGTGCCACAACGAGAGCGCAGTCGCGACGAGCACCCGCCGCGGCCGCGCGGCCAACCAGATTTCCGAGCCTGCGACGAAATAGCCGGACCCGACCGTGCGACACCTCGATCAGACACCGGCCCGAAACCCTTACCGTAAGAACCCCTAGCGTGTCCACATTTTTTGAAGAAAAGTATAAGTTACCGAGGGGCAGACGGTCCACGAAAGTGAACAGCATTTCTTGCGTTCCGTTGTTGTGGCCGGTCGTCGCCCCGGTACCCCATATTTTTGGTGCTATTTAAAGGCTTACGCCTAACAGCCGGGCGCCGGCCCACTTGGGTCTGTGTAGGGCTGGGTCGGGCGCACGTTAAGCTATCAGGGGCATACTGGGCCCTGGTGGTGCCGGAAACTGGTCTGCGTCGGAGACGGGGGCCCTATATTGAGCAAAGTTAAGCTATCTGGTGCGCATCTTGGCCCTAGGTTGGGCCAAGTGGTGGTCTATGTTGGGCATGTTGAGCCTCTATGTTTGGCCTATGTTGGCCTAGGTTGGGCCTATGTTGGCCCCATGTTGGCCTATGTTGGCCCTATGTTGAGCCATCTTGGAGGCTATGTTGGGCATATGTTGGGGATATGTTGGCTATCTTGGGCCTATGTTGAGGATATGTTAGGCAACGTAAGTTGTTTGGAGGGCCTCTACCCACAAAATGTCGATTAAGCCTGTCCGCCCGGCATGCATTACCGACACCACCTTTGAAAAACACAGCATTTTTGCATTTATCCCTTTTCCCCGCGTCGTACTTCGATATGCGCAATAAACCCTGTAAAACACAGTGTTTTTTATACCTCACACACACACACGATACACTGTAAATTACAGGGGCATCAGTGAACCGGTGGTCCGCCCGTTTTGGGAACGAGGGTCGGCGGCAGCCGGCGCGCCCGTCTATAACCTTCGGTTACCACCGAAGGCCGCGGGGCTTGGGTCGCCGTGGTGATCTGTGCCAGGTGGAACTTCAACGAGGTGGAGAATTTGCAGGAGGCATTTGTCGTGAAGCAGCTCTGCGAGACGCAGACGTGGAGTGAGTTCCTTTGGGCCTGCTCGGCGCACTCTAGCAAGAAGCGCGCATGGGCCAAGACGGCACAGGCCTTGGACTTGGCGCCGCCGAAGTTGTTCCAGACGAACCGGGAGGATCACCCACAAGCTGCGGCCAATAAGGCACATACCCCAGAGTTGGAAAGACATTTTGTCGGAGACGCAGAGTGCGTCGCAGACATCCAGAGCTTGGGCGGTTCTGCGCTCCTCGCGCGCTATGAGAGCTTTCAGCAACCTGCCCATAGGGCGGACATGTGGCGGTATATTCGCTTGTGGAAAGAGGGTGGAAGTTACTTGGACATCAAGATGGCGTTGCTGCAGCCGTGGAGCACAACCCTGGAAGAGATTTATGCGGAGGGAGAGAGATGCTTGGAGGGACAGCGCGTCGCGCAGTCCTCGGGCCAGCGCGTCGCGCCGCCCACGGAGGTGCGAGATTTGTCGCAAGTCCCGCACCTCCTCCTCAGCATCGGACAAAACCGCAAACATATCTTCCAGGGGAACATGTGGCACGCGTCCGCGAAGCATCCGCTCTTAGCCAGAGCGGTGGGACATGCGCTGGGCACGTCGCAGAGTCACCTGAGTTGTTCTGCGAGTTTTTGTGGGCAGAGCTGCGGCGCGACCTCGGCAAGGACCCAGCGCCAGGGTGGAACTTCTGCCGCACCCTTGGCCCCATCTACCTTTTCCAGGAGCAGATGGATGGGCAGCGGAAAGCCGAGCGCGACCGACGTGGGCGCACATGCTTGGGGGAGGAATTTCCAGTGGATGGTCACTTCATGTTCACCACCAGTGGCACGAGGTATGCCGCCACCCGGGCGTGGGGCTGGAAGAAAGGTTTCCTACCGGTCGCCCTGGGAGCCATCGCGACACAGCGGGCAGAAGCGCAGAGCGTAGCTCAGCCGGAGCCACAGCCTGGCACTCCTGCCCCCGAAGCGCCGAGTGCGCCGCCCCCGGAAGCGCCGAGCAGCAGCGCCGCGCCGAGCGCCGAAGCGCAGCAGCGCGTCGCGCAGTTGCAGGAGACACCGAGCGCGGCGACCCAACCTGCGGCAAACCAGGGGGAGGCGCCGCCACTGGAGACGACTATCACTCCGGAAGGCTTGGAGCGGATAATGGCAGTGGCGACGGGGCAAAGTTGGCATGAGGGCCTGACTCGGGCAGAGGTGGAGATCTTCACGGTGCAAGGCCTGAGAGAAGCGACCCGACGGGAGGGCTATCTCTCGTGCTTGTTCTAAAAAACAGAAAGAGGCAACAACTTCTTTTCCAGGGCACCAACGAACTCCGAAACCACTTCGAGGGCAACCACGAGAGGCCACAAGCAACAGAAGCGCTCCCGCTGCGGTCGCCGAGGAGATCGGCCAGGCTATGGCCGTGGTGGAGCAGACGATGGAGAAGGCGGGAGTGAGGGAACCAGGACAGCGAGCCGAAAGGGTCGAAAAAGATAAAACTTGGAAGGATATTTTTTATTTTAAGGTAAAAGGTGTATATTTCTTAAAGGTGTTTGTGGAGGGGGGGGGGGGGCACCCGCCGTCGCGACAGTGAGGTGGGCGTCCGGGCAGAGCAGGATGCGCGAGATCGCGTGGTTGCAGCGGCAGCGGCGCTCCCAGCGGCACCCCCCGAGCCAACGCTGTTGGACGCAGCTTTGTGCGCCACCGGCGAAATCGCTGACTTCTTCCGCCGGCTGACAGGCATCTTGGGACCGTCCATCTCGGGCAACCGGCCTATGTTGGCGACGGCGCTGAAGGACGCCCATGCGCTGCCCAGCGTGCTGCAGAACGTCGTTCGGCAGCGTTCGGCGCAGGGCGCCACGTGGAACGACCTGACACGGTCGGAGAACGTGGAGTGGGCCGCGCACGATGGGTCGGAGGGAGACCCTCCGTACGCGCTGGCTATGTGCAAAGGAGGTTTCTATGAGTACGTGGACAGGGCGAGCTTGTACAGCACCATTTTGGCGCGCTTGGTGGTGGACGCGGTCGAGGAGACCGCCAACAGCTTGGACGCCGCAGGGCGGCAGGCCGTGCTCGAGCGCATCTGCGTGCAGTTCAATGAGGCCGCCAGGCAGCAGGGTCAGCCGTCGAGGCTTCTGATCGCACTGGGTGGCGCCCGAGCCCTGAAGTTCGACTTGGATCCCACCAACATCGAGCGCCAGTACGGAGGAGCGAAGAAAAGAGTGACCAAGCGGCAGGCCGAATCCGGCGTGGCAGTCGGTCGCTCCAACCGAGTGTTACAGAGGTTGGAGTGAAGAGCCAAGCCGCAGAAAGTCGTTCAGTGCGAGCGTGACCGAGAGGAGCCGCAGAGCGTCGCTCAATGGCTTCGTCTAGCCGGCCGACGTGCCGTTGGAGACGCCCTCGCTGCGCCTATCCCCTCGGGATGCTGCGGCGCTCGTGGCGTCCAGAGAGAAGAAAAGGAGAGACACAGTGTGTTTGTAAGCAAGCAAGTTAGAGCGGGGCTAGTCGAACCGGGACCCAAAGGACCCTAGTCAGAGCACACGGGATCGAGGACAGCTGCTTGTGTCCGCGACGCGTCCGCCGTGCGTCGCGCGAGCGCGAGCAGGTGTCTGCCGCGACCGAGAACCACGCAGCAGACCGACGGCAGGAGGACATGTTTTTTTCTTGCCGTGCAGGGGGGTGTTCGAGCAAGAGAGTGCGCGCAGGTGGAAAGAGAGCAAGGGCTGAAGGAAACGGGCATGTGCAGGTATTCCAAGTGTGAAAACGGGGACATGCCCGGACTCCACGCGGCCGACTGCGTCGTCGCCCCAGGAGTTGGTGGGCTGCGCTCTCCGACGGTGCGAGGCGCAGAGAACGCGCGCGCGAGCCGAGAGGGCAAGGCTGCAGGGGTAGAGTGTTGCTATCTTTTGTACCCTTGCGGGCGCGTAGCAACCGCAACCGCGGAGCACGGGGAGAAGCGAGCGCCGCGGGGGCAGAGTGTCTTGCTTGTAGGTTTTTGTTTTGTGTTGGGCAGGGTGCGTGGCAGGCGTGACGGTGGAGGTCGATACGTGTGAGCAGAGCGTCGCTCAACCACACCCAGGAAAGCAAGACAGTCGGGGTGAGTTTAAAGGCGGCACGAGCTCCACGGGGCGCAACACACGGCGGCAGCGCGTCGCGCAACCGCGCCCGCAGAGCCGGAGATGTTATTGAAATGGGACCTTAACCACCCGGTGATTTGGCGTGCAGAAGTCAACGAACTAGTAATTTCTTAAGAGCATCCTTGTTTTGCAGGGATGGAAAACAAGCTAGCATGTTCTTAGATCGTGATCTTGGGTTGCTTACCTTTGGTCACATCCAGGCTACCGCTGCTAGGGCTTTGCGACGATATTTGTGGAATCATGTCAGCATCTTCACTAAGTGTATGTAGTTGATTGGTTGCTTGATGAAGGGGATATGGTGTACGTGTGGACCGACTCCGGGCATGCCACGGGCGTCCTGGCCGGCGCCCGGATTTAGAGGCTTACGCCTAACAGCCGGGCGCCGGCCCACTTGGGTCTGCGGGGCGTATGTCACACCTATGTTGGCCTTGGTGGGGCCTATATTGAGTAAAGTTAAGCTATCTGGTGCGCAGCTTGGCCCTAGGTTGGGCCAAGTTGGGCCCATGTGGTCTATGTTGGGCACATCTTGGGCCCATGTTGGGCCTATGTTGGGCTTATGTTGGCCTATGTTAGGCCTAGGTTGGCCTATGTTGGCCTATGTTGGCCTAGGTTGGGCCTATGTTGGGCCTATGTTGGCCCCAGGTTGGCCCCGTGTTGGCTTATGTTGGCCCTATGTTGAGCCATCTTGGAGGCTATGTTGGGCATATGTTGGGATATGTTGGCTATCTTCGGCCTATGTTGGGGATATGTTAGGCAATTTATGTTGAAAAAATCTTCCGATACAACTTTTTACGATTTTTTCCTTCCCGCAAAGCAAAAACACTGAAAAAACCTACGTTTTTTAACCTCGCCAAGATGAAATTCTCGGCCGCCGAGGGGCCCCAAACCCTGTAAAACGCAAGGTTTTTGAACATCACGCACACAAAACCCTGTAAATTACGTTGATATCAGTGACCCGGTAGTGACGACGGGGTTCCCCCGTTTTGGTCCCGAGGGTCGGCGGCAGGGGCCGCGCCCGTATATAACCTTCGGTTACCACCGAAGGCCCTCCGGGCAGGGCATGGGCTTCGTGGCCGGCGCCCGGATTTCAAGGCTTACGCCTAACAGCCGGGCGCCGGCCCACTTGGGTGTGTGGGGCGTATGTCACGCCTATGTTGGCCTTGGTGGGGCCTACATTGAGCACAGTTAAGCTATCTGGTGCGCATCTTGGCCCTAGGTTGGGCCAAGTGGGGCCCATGGTGTATGTTGGGCACATCGTGGGCCCATGTTGAGCCTATGTTGGGCCTATGTTGGCCTATGTTAGGCCTATGTTGGCCTATGTTGGCCTGGGTTGGGCCTATGTTGGCGTATGTTGGCCCCATCTTGGCCTATGTTGGCCCTATGTTGAGCCATCTTGGAGGCTACGTTGGGGATATGTTGGCTATCTTGGGCCTATGTTGGGGATATGTTAGGCGATTTATGTTGAAAAAATCTTCCGATACAACTTTTTGCGATTTTTTCCTTCCCGCAAAGCAAAAACCATGAAAAACCTAGGTTTTTTCACATCGCCCAGATGAAATTCTCGGCCGCCGAGGGCCCCCAAACCCTGTAAAACACAGTGTTTTTTTACCTCACACACACGAAACCCTGTAAATTACGTTGATATCAGTGACCCGGTGGTCCCCCCGTTTTGGGACCGAGGGTCGGCGGCAGCCGGCGCGCCCGTCTATAACCTTCGGTTACCACCGAAGGCCCTCCGGGCATGCCACGGGCGTCCTGGCCGGCGCCCGGATTTAAAGGCTTACGCCTGACAGCCGGGCGCCGGCGTACTAGGGTAAGAGAGGTGTGGGTCGAGGTGACGGTAGGCGTCGCTCGCGGTGTTGGCGAGGTGTGGTGTCGGGAAGGGACCCGCCATGTTTCCGCGGAGTCTTCCATGGAGAAGACGGGGGCCGGGGTTTGGGGCACCCCGGCAGCACCCGTCCGAGGGACGGGGGCTGACTGCCCTGGTTGCTTGCAGCAACCAAAAGTCGGGAGAGCCGTCGGAGAGAGAGGAGGCACGTGGATGCGTGGAGGCGGCAGCTGTCAGCTGGCAACAAGAGCGTCGCTCATGCCAGCCAGCCACAGCCCTGGTGAGGAGAGGCAGACGTCATTCCACCCTCAAGGACACTGTCTGCAAGTTGATGCGCCAGCAAGGCCGGCGGGGGTGGAGAGGTTGGGGGTCGAGGCGTCGACGTCGCAAGGTGGAGACGTAGAGTGGCAAAGGACTTGGACAGCATGCTGCAGAGAGTAGTTAGCAAGAAACAGTCGACACCGGAAAGGGGACAAACAGTCGACACCGGAAAGGGGACAGATAGAGAGACTGGCGAGACGTGGGCTCAACAACAGGCGAGCCTGTGAACAGAGCAAGAGCATGTGCAAGCCAGAAACAGCCTCCAACCCAAAGACACCAGAAGCAACCAGCGCTGAACTCCCAGAGTGATAGGATAGCAAAGAGTAGAGCGCAAGAGAAGCTAGGAGACGGCTAGGGTTAGAGAGCAACAGCAACCAAGCACACCTGACCTTTTTTCGCATTTTGTGTTCGGTTTCAGCGGGGGGGGCGTGTGAGCAGGGCAGGAGCACGTGCAAAGCAGAGCAACAAAGCCCTCAACGCCAAGACACCAGAAGCAACCAGCGTCGAACTCTGAGAGTCAGAGGACGAAGCTAGGAGACCGCTAGCGTTGGAAAGCAAGAGCAACCAAGCACCCTCGACCTTTTTTTTCCTCTCTCTGCTCTTGGTCTCAGCCATGGAGACCGAGAGTGCTCGCGACGCACCGAGCACATCGCCGACGGTGTCGGCGGCTGAAGCCATGGAGACCGGCGGCGCCGCGGTGCGCGCAGCCGACATACCGAGAGCGTCGCTCACGGTGGTGTTGGTGGATTCGACGGGTTGGTTGCCCGGGCAAAAGTTGGGAGACGCTGCGATGGATTTTCGCAAGGTTGCGAGCATTGTTAGTGGGGGCAGCATTGCGAAGCCTGGCAAGAAGGATGGCAGGAACATCCTCGACCAGTTCATGCAATGGGTCTTGGACGGCGGGGAAGAGACCCATGGAGGGGACGTGGAGGTGGAAGTGGGCGTGGTGCCAGCCCGCGACTCCGTGCGAGGGGCAGGGGTCGCGCGGCCGGCATGTGGTGTCCCGGAGTTGAGCAAGAGCATCTTGGAGATAGTCCCTGGTGCCTATGGAGAGGCCAAAAAGGCCTTGCACTTTCTGCCTGCCTGCGCGTCGGAGAGCATGGAGCGGGTAGTGGAGGCGGCGCGAGCCGAGCTGGAAGTGCGTCGAGCAGAGCGTCGCTCAGCCGGCGCTGAGGGAGCCCCCGCGTCAGAGCGTCGCTCAACCGGGGGCACGAGCATGTGCTTTCGGGCTTTCTATTTGTAGCTATGAATCATGTGTAGGTTACATTGTTGTAGCCATTTTAGCTATCCATACAAGCAAGGTTTCCAGAGGTTTGTAGCCATGTCAGCTGGTACCATCCAGATCGATGACTATGCCTTGACAGGGGAGGCCAACCAGCTCAAGTTGGTCTTGTACTTCAGTGATGGAACCAGCCAAACGTGACTTGACCAGATGTTTTATCTATTGTTCAACTCCAATATTATTTAGACTTTGTTTTTGATGCTTTAACCAACGAAGGTATCCAAGGCCACTACCAAATCCAGATGGTAGAATGAGGTCCAAGTGGGCTGTTGTACACAGTTTGTGTCGCACATCCATGACTCTGTACAGGGTGTACCAGGCACCAGGCCAGGAGCCAGAGGTCATTGAGCCAACCCAACTTGCTAAGTGTATCCATGAAATTGGATACCAGGAGGCCATACCATTGGTCCACAAGTGGTTCAGCTAAATCTAGCCAGTTTCAGAAAAAATAAAAGTGTTTGCCGCAGTCGGTCTTTGTTGTTGCCATCATGGCATTTCATCATTATGACATTTCATCAGTGCCGTTGGAGACGCCCTCGAGCCGCAGAGCGTCGCTCAGCTGCTCTTTGCGGCTCTGGCAGAGTAGCTGCGCCTATCCCCTCGGGATGCTGCGGCGCTCGTGGCATCCAAAGAGAAGAAAAGGAGAGACACAGTGTGTTTGTAAGCAAGCAAGTTAGAGCGGGGCTAGTCGAACCGGGACCCAAAAGGACCCTAGTCAGAGCACACGGGATCGAGGACAGCTGCTTTTGTCCGCGACGCGTCCGCCGTTCGTCGCGCGAGCGCGAGCAGGTGTCTGCCGCGACCGAGAACCACGCAGCAGACCGACGGCAGGAGGACATTTTTTTTCTTGCCGGGCAGGGGGGTGTTCGAGCAAGAGAGCGCACGCAGGTGGAACGAGAGCAAGGGCTGAAGGAAACGGGCATGCGCGGGTATTCCAAGTGTGAAAACGGGGACATGCCCGGACTCCACGCGGCCGACTGCGTCGTCGCCCCAGGAGTTGGGGGGCTGCGCTCTCCGACGGTGCGAGGTGCAGAGAACGCGCGCGCGAGCCGAGAGGGCAAGGCTGCAGGGGTAGAGTGTTGCTATCTTTTGGACCATTGGCGGGTGCGTAGTAACCGCAACCGCGGCGCACGCGGAGAAGCGAGCGCCGCGGGGGCAGAGTGTCTTGCTTGTAGGTTTTTGTTTTCTGTTGGGCACGGTTCGTGGCAGGCGTTACGGCAGAGGTCGAAACGTGTGAGCAGAGCGTCGCTCAACCACACCCAGGAAAGCAAGACAGTCGGGGTGAGTTTAAAGGCAGCACGAGCTCCACGGGGCGCCACACACGGCGGCAGCGCGTCGCGCAACCGCGCCCGCAGAGCAGGAGATGCTTTTGAAATGGGACCTTAAACTTACCCACCCGGTGATTTGTCGTGCAGAAGTCAACGAACAAGTAATTTCTTAAGAGCATCCTTGTTTTGCAGGGATGGAAAACAAGCTAGCATGCATTCAAACATGTCTCTCACATTTCGTTAAGTTTGGTTCCAGGGTAGTGGAGGGTGGGCTTCCGCTTTTCTTTGTCTGGCAGAAGGGGCCAGCCGACTACCCATGCAGCACCCACACCTGGCGCAATTCCAAGCTGACCTCTACCGATACAGAATGGCAATTCAATTGAGATGTGATGCTCTAGCAGCTCTGAGGGCTATGGATACTATGATAGAACACTTCGAAGACATGGGGTTTGCCAATACCGCCCACATGGGCCCCCTGAATCAAGCCCGAGACGAGCTTGCGGACTTCTTGACCTTTGCAGACTATTTGTTGGGGCAAGCGACCGAAATCCTGAATAACTGGGTTCAGTGGAGTGGGTAGCCAACGCGCTACTTTGTACCATAGAAGCGTCATGTACGCATAGAACACAAAAGACAAAGGAGGAAGCAGAGGCGAGTCGTTTGCAAAGTTACCACGTTGCTTAAACTCGGATGGTGTCAGAGAGCCGTGTCTGACCTGTTGAGGGCACCGGTCAGGCTGCAGACGAAGAGAGGGGAGAGCAGCGTGTCGGGCAACCACACCTAGAGAGCGCGATTTTTTGGGGGGGGGGGGGGGGGGGGGGGTTTCCTGGAGAAATTTTACTTGGTCCTGGTGTCCGTGGTCGTGTTTTTACTAGATCACGAAGTAGGGGTAGTGCTATCCTCCCACGCTTCCGCTATGGCCGCAACCTTCGAAGGAAGCCCTAAGAAGCGACGTCGTAGTGGAAGCGACGGCCCAGCTGGCAGCTCGCGTGAGCAGGTCACTGCGCGCAAGCTGGAAGAGATCCATCGCCTGCGGGCGCGCACAGAGGTGAACTTCAGCGGGCACGTGCTCGCAGCGGACGAGACGGTGCAGAAGCGTGACACCTTTGTCCGGGGCGCTTGCACGCAACGAGAGGTGGCAGGCTTCATCGCAGCAGATGCCTCGTGCTTGGTTCAAGTGGCACTGTGGGGCGAAGTGGCACAGAAGTACTTCGAGTCGTTGACAAAGGCGCTCAACGAGGCGGAAGACGGAGTTTTCCCTCGGATCGAAGTCACTGCCTGCCAGGTCGCCACTCTGAAGCATCCAGAAGGGACATCGTTGCGACGCCTGGCATCAACGGCAAGGACCACGGTGAAGTTGCTTGAACCAACCCCACTGACCATTTCTCCGTCTCCACGTGTCCTCACCACCAGCGCGGCAGACTTGATGCATGTGCCTCAGGTCTCATGCTTCATGGGGGTCGTGAGCCGCCTGGAAGCGCGCGTCTTCTCGCAAGAGGACGTGGGAATGAGAGAAATAGGGATCAGCATGCAGAATGGATATGAGGTGCCAGTGATGCTGTATGGAGTGCAAAGTGAAGAGGAAGTCGAACTCAAGGACCGCGTGGCGGTGTGGTTTGGTGAGGGCAAGCCCCCGTTGGCGAACAGAGACGACAGCAAGGGCATGATCTGGCTTTGGGGAAAACCGAGGAAAGCTACCAAGGCAGACCCCTGGACATTGGCAGAGCGTCCCTAGAGGAAGACGCGCGTGAGGAGTAGAGTGACCGGCGCGGCCGTTCCGCGCCGCAGAGCGTCGCTCGGTGGCCGCCCCGGAGTGTGCGCGCGCACGACGGCGAGCAGAGCGTCGCTCCCTCGCGTCGCGCGGAGGCCGATGTAAGAAGCGACGGAGCGTCGCGGAGCGAAGAGCTGCCAGTGGGTAGGTTTTTTTGCGCCACGGACGGCGAGCAGAGCGTCGCTCACTCACATGTCTGGGACGCGGCGCCCCGCCGCGACAGAGCGTCGCGCGCCGCGGAGTTGCCCTTTGCTCGGTCTGCTTTGATGTTTTTACTAGACCCCATGGACGCTGAGCGAGAAACAACGTTACAAGGCTGAATCCCATTGAACGATATATATATATATTATATATATTATATATATATATATTGACATATATATATATATATAGACATCAGACTCGTGTCCGCAGAAGTTCCTCTATTGGCAAGACGTGGGCTCGATAACAGATGTGCCTGTGAACAGAGCACGACCACGTGGAAGCCAGAGGGAAGAATTCTGCTACGCAAAGACACCAGACGCAAGCAGGGACAGACTCTTAGAGTGATAGGGTGGCCAAGGGAAATGCCCAAGAGAAGCTAGGAGACCGTGAGCACTCACTAGAGAGCACTGCCACCGAGCACATGCAAGGAGTTTTTTTTTTTGGGGGGGGGTGTCCTTTTTTTTCAGCCATGGAAAGCGAGGACGCAGCGGCGCGCACGGAGAGCGCAGGCGCGTCGCTCGCGGTGACGTCGGCCGCAGCCTTGGCGGCCGGCGGCGCCGCGGGGCACGCGGCCGACACACACCGAGAGTCGACACACCGAGAGTGTCGCCGAAGGCGGCGCCCCCCGAGCCAACGTTGTTGGACGCAACCTTGCGCGCCTCCGGTGAGATCGCCGACTTCTTCCGCCGGCTGACGGCCGTCCTGGCACCATCCATCGCTGGAAACCGGCGTATGTTGGCGACGGCGCTGAAGAACGCGCATGCTCTGCCCCGCGTGCTGCAGAACGTCGTTCGGCAGCGTTCAGCGTGGGGAGCCACGTGGAACGATCTGACGCGGCCGGAGAACGTGGAGTGGGCCGTGCGCGATGGAACGATGCGAGCGCCTGCGTACGCGCTGGCTATGCGCAAGGGTCATTCCTGGGAGTACGTGGACAAGGCGACTGTGTACAGCACCATTTTGGTGCGCTTGGTTATGGACGTGGTCGAGGAGACGGCAGACGCCTTGGACGACGTAAGTCTGCGAACTCTGCTCGATCTGCGTGCATTTCAATGAGTCCTCCAGGCAGCAGGGTCAACCGTCGCGACTTTTGATCGCGCTGGGCGGCGCCCGATCTTTGAAGTTCGATTTGGATCCGGCCGACATCGACCGCCAATACGGAGGAGCAAAGAAAAGAGTGACCAAGCGGAAGGCGGAATCTGGTGTGGCCCTCGAACGCTCCAAGCGGGCGCTGCAAAGGTTCCAGTGATGACTCCAGCCGCAGAACGTCGTTCAGTGCCAAGTGGTCGCGCTGGGAGAATGTGACGGAGCGGCGCCCCAGAGCATCCCGCAACGGCTCCCTCTGCTTGGCCGACAGGTTCCCGGCAGCGCCCCGGGGGCGGCGAGCACGCCACGGAGGGCGGAGAGCTCGCTACGGAGCACAGCCGCAGAGCGTCGCTCGGCCGCTGTTTGCGGCGCCGACAGAGCAACGTCGCGTTCGGCGAGAAAAAAAAAGGATGTGATTATTAGCAAGCAAGTAACAAAGGGCGTCGACTGCGCCACGCGCGGAGGGCCGTGGTGGTGGGTCGGTCGTCGTGGTCGTTCCCTCGCCCTCGTGTCCGCAGACTCGTTCGCCGCTCGCGAGCGTCGCGCGCGCCGTCTCGGACGGTCGCTGGACGTCACGACCTCGTCGGTTCGGTTCGCTCGGTCGGCGGACGTCACGACCTCGTCGGTTCGGTTCGCTCGGCTTCGGTCGTCGGGGTCGTTCCCTCGCCCTCGTTTCCGCGGACTCGTTGGCCGCTCGCGAGCGTCGCGCCCGCTGTCTCGGACGGCAGCGGGACGTCAGTACCTCGTCGGTCCGGTTCGCTCGGCTTCGACTGCGTTCGATCGAGGGACAGCCACGACGACGCGCGCGTCGTTGCAGGTGCTCGACGAGGACATCGACCGTCGGTGGGGGTCCGACAGACACCAACCCCTCCCTGCGCAAGACGGGGGCCGGGGACTCGGGCACCCCGGCAGCATCCGTCTGAGGGACGGGGGCTGACTGCCCGGGCTGCACCTCGCAGCCAAAAGTCGGGAGAGCCGTCGGTGAGGGCCCAGGCGGCAACGATTGGCTCGCAACAAGAGCGTCGCTCATCCAGTGAGTCACAGCTTCGTACCAAACAGGGAGACCTCTCGCCGCTCCGAAAACCGTCGTGCAAAGCAGATCGACCTCACCCGGTGGAATTCTCTTCAGCAACATATTTTATATATATATATATACGTTATAGTTCTACGTGAAACTCATGTCTGCAGAAGTGACTGGTGTCAGTGACAGCAGACACTTGCGCCCAAAGCAAACGCAGCACCGCCGGCGTGCCAAAACCAAAGCCAGCGCAGAGAAACGCGCAAACCAACTAGAACGGATGCGCGCCGGGGATGGAGGTGACACGTTTGTTCCTCGTCCGCTCGTTGGCGCGGGGATGGATGTGACGTGTCTGTTCCGCGTCCGCTCGCGGTCGCGAGTCTTCTCGGCTCCGGGTCGGGCGCGTGCGTGGTGCGCGCGCGCGCGCGCGTGCAGCTGCGTGGTCACGCGCACAGTGTGTGGCGGACGCGCGCGTGGAGCAGAAGTGGAGAACCTGAGTTCGTGCACACGGCTCTAGCCAGCGCACGCATAGACACGAGACACATGGCATCGCATTCTCAGCAGTGGTAACGGGAGAAGACAGACACCAAACAGAGGTTGGAGTAGGTACATGGTGCTACAACCCAGTCGTAAGAAGCAGATGCAAAAGAATTTGCAGACGGTTTCTTCCGAGTGATTTTCTGTATTGCGTCGCTCCAAAGTGAGCAGCGCCAGCGCCTGATGTCGATGCATACACATTGGACTCGAACTCTACCCAGTCGCTGGTTCCTGTGCACTTGGCTTCTAGCTAGCAGCTGTGCCATCTTATGTAGTTCTGCAAGACACCTGGACCCATTCTTTTGCATCAACCTCTGCGGTTGTGTTTTCAGCTTGCAAGCACGACGTGCACTCCGAGCTACTTCGTGCAAGCAAGGCTGGATCCAGAAGAGTCGCTCCGCAGGCGGTCGGCGCTGCAAAGGACATCGCCGACAGAAGGCCGGGAGAAGGTTGCGCGCAGCGCTGCAAATATGTGGCTGGATTTGGTTGTTGGTTTGCGGATGTCGCGGCTCCTCGCTGACCGCAGTGGGCTATCAAGCGGCACGCTTAGGCAACGCCCGAGGGGAGTCAGCACGAGGGCGACACAGGCGAAAGCCGCGCACTGCGAAGGGCAAGGTGGTGCGGCAGAGCGAAATAGGGGCCTACTTCCTGCTCGCGCCGGGCCAGGGCGGGTGTCTGTTCTACACCGTGAGCACGGAGGTCAGTGGCGGGCCGAAGTGGAAACTTAGCTGTGCCCTTGGTTGTCGCAGTGCCGAGCAACTGGACGTCGTGTGTTGTGTTGATCTCTGCGGGTATGGCTTCCGCCTGCAAACCCGGCGAGACGTGCGAAAAGGGTGTCCCCAAGCTCAGACGGCACCGAGATGGTACCTACCTCGAAAGGTCCGAAATCGAGAGCAGCGTGCCGTGAACGGCAATGCTGAAGCCGCCGACTGACTGCCCTGGCTTCTCTGAAAAGAAGCCCACGCGCAGGTATTTTGACACAATGCGAATTTCCTGCGAGCCTATTTCGTATTGCCGGAACAGAGCTCAGCTTCCCCAATGGCAAGAACATCGCTCACGCCAACTACCCGCACTCCCTGTGATGAGTCACAGGTATTTTTATACAAGGAGAATTTTCTTCGAACCTGTTTCGTATCCCCAGAAGAAAGCCAGAGGTCAGCTTCGCCTCTGGCCAGAGCGTCGCTCATGCCAGCTACCCACACACCCGGTGATGACTCGCAGGTATCTGGCGACAGTGAGACTTTCGTTCCAGCCTATTTCGTATCACCAGAACAAAACCAGAGCTCGATCCTGTTTCGGGCAACCCCACTTCGACAGCAACGGCTGAACGACTCCGAGAGGAAAGAAAAAAGGAGCGAATGCGCTTTTCCTTGTGCTTTTTCACGTGAATGTGGAATGCAGCTGTCTTGTGATGTGCGCTTTCGTGTCTTTCTTGCATGCGCAGCACATTTCGCGCCAAGACGCAGTAAACCACACACAGACAAACAATTACAAACCAAGCGTGCCAGAACAGAGGTTTGCGCGGGGCCTGGGACATGGGGCATCCCTGCCGTCTTGTGTTCTTGTGTATGTGGAATGCAACTGTCTTGCGGTGTGCGCTTTCGTACTTTTGGAGCATGTGCGACACATTGCGGAGTAAGACGCAGTAAACCACAGACAGACAAACAACGACAAACGACGCATGCTGTAGTAAGACGCAGTAAACCACAAACAGACAAACAACGACAAACAAAGCGTGCCAGCGCAGAGGTTTGCACGGGGGCTGGGACACGGGGCATCCCAGCACCATCCTCCAAACTGGAGGAGGCTGACTGCCCTGGCTTCTTCTCCGAAATCTTACACCCAGGTTGGGTCGCCTGTCTCTGTTGTCTCTTTCTCCGTCTCGGTCGGCCCCGTGTTGACCTATGTTGGCCCGAGTGGATCCATCTTGTTGGCTATGTTGAGCAGATGTTGGGCCCATATTGATCCTATGTTGAGCACGTTAGGCCTATGTGGGCCTAGGTTGGGCCTATGTTGGCGTCCGTTGGCCCCAAGTTGGTCTATGTTGGCCCTATGTTGAGCCATCTTGGAGACTATGTTGGCCATATGTTGGGAATATGTTGGCTATCTTGGGCCTATGTTGGGGATATGTTAGGCGATTTATGTCGAAAAAAATCTTCCGATACAACTTTTGTGACGATTTTTCCTTCCCGCAAACCAAAAACACTGAAAAAACCTACGTTTTTTGACATCGCCAAGCTGATATTCTCGGCGGCCGAGGGGCCCGAAACCCTGTAAAGGGATATGTTGGCTGCACGTTAGGCCTATGTTGGCCTAGGTTGTGCCTATGTTGGGCCTATGTTGGCGTCTGTTGGCCCCAAGTTGGCCTATGTTGGCCCTATGTTGAGCCATCTTGGAGGCTATGTTGGGCATATGTTGGGGATATGTTGGCTATCTTGGGCCTATGTTGGGGATATGTCAGGCGATTTATGTTGAAAAAATCTTCCGATACAACTTTTTACGATTTTTTCCTTCCCGCAAAGCAAAAACCATGAAAAACCTATGTTTTTTGACATCGCCAAGATGAAATTCTCGGCTGCCGAGGGGCCCGAAACCCTGTAAAACACAGTTTTTTTATACCTCACACACACGATACACTGTAAATTACAGAGGCATCTGTTGACAGGAAGTGACCTGGGGGTCCCCCCGTTTTGGGACCGAGGGTCGGCGGCAGCCGGCGCGCCCGTCTATAACCTTCGGTTACCAACCGAAGGCCTCCGGCGAGGACACGGGCTTCGTGGCCGGCGCCCGGATTTAAGAGGCTTACGCCTGACAGCCGGGCGCCGGCCAAGCAGGGTGAGGGTTTGTGTTAAACGCGCGGACGATGAGGGTGTGTAGGGCTGAGTACTCTCTCTCTTTCTCTGTCGCTTTGTCTTGGTCTTTTTCATCCTCTCTCTCCCTTTTCGCTGTCTCCGTCCTGGTATCTCTCTCTCTGTCTCTCTCTTCCTCTTTCTGTGTCTCTTGCTGTCATTCTCTTTCTCCTTCTCTTTCTCTTCTCTTCTCTCTCTCTCTCTCTCTGTGTTTCTCCTTGTCCCCTCAGTGTTTGCCTCGGTCTTCGTCCCTGTCTCCGTCGCGGTATTTGTCGGTAGTTGTCTCTGTCTCTACCTCTGTGTCGACTAAAAGGTTGTGGGGGAGCATCGCTCTCCCACCCTCGCGCAGGACGGGGGCCGGGACTTCGGGCGTCCCGGTCGCATCCTTCTCGCAAAGGAGGCTGACCGCCCGGGCGTATACCGAGTATACGCCGAAGTCGGGAGAGCCGTCTTGCACATTTCCTGCCATCTCTCTCTCTCTCTCTCTCACTCTCTCTCTCTCTCTACTCTCTCCCTCCCCTCTCTCTGTCTCTGTCTCTGTCTCGGTCTCTGTCGGTCTCTGTCTCTGTCTCTATCTCTGTCTCTGTCGGTCTCTGTCTCTATCTCTGTCTCTGTCTGTCTCTGTCTCTGTCTTCTCTGTCTCTGTCTTCTCTGTCTCTGTCTCGGTCTTCTCTGTATCTGTCTTCGCTGTCTCTCTCTCTCTCTCTCTCTCTCTTTTTGAGACTGTGTGGGGCCTATGTGGCCCGTCTTGGGGCTATGTTTCCCATATCTGAGAGCTAGGGAGGGTCATCTTCGCTGTCTCTCTCTCTCTCTTTTTTTTTGAGACTGTGTGGGGCCTATGTTGCCACATCTTGAGGCAATCTTGGCCCGTCTTGGGGCTATGTTTCCCATATCTGAGAGCTAGGTAGGGTCATCTTGCGGCTATGTGAGACTGTGTGGGGCCTATGTTGCCACATCTTGAGGCAATCTTGGCCCATCTTGGGGCTATGTGGGCCATATCTGAGACCTATGTTGAGTCCTCTTGAGGGCCTCTGTCAGATCATCTTGGAGCACATGTTCCGCCTTTGCTCTTAGCACGTGCCCGACACCCACGAAATGTCGATTAAGCCTGTCCGCGCGGCACGCATAACTGACACCACGGGCACCCTGTCGTGGACGCCGAAGGCCACGAAACACTGTAAAAAACTATGTTTTTGAACATTTTTCGAACATCCAGCGCAAGATACATATAAATCTGTCGGGCGGATTCGGGCGGGGGTCGACCGGGGGTATACCGGGGGTCGGTCGGCGGCAGGGGCGGCGAGCGTATATAACCTTCGGTTACCAACCGAAGGCCTCCGGCAAGGGAACGTGCGCGTGGCCGGCGCCCGGATTTACCAGGCTACCGCCTGCAGCCGCCGACCCCCAAGGGATAGAACCTTAGCGCTAGCAAGGCCTAGCCTTAGCCTTAGACTTAGCCTTAGCCTGACCGCCAAAAGGTTACCAATTTTTGGGGGAAATCTGGGAACCTAAAAACAAGAGGAAGTGCTAGAAAATTCTTGGAAAAGCATCCAGCCGAAAACACAACAAAATCTAGACAAAGCCTAGAGCATTCCTAGGAAAATGCTAGAAAAGCCTTTGAAAATCCCATAAATCCAACAGAAAACGTGACAAAATCTACGAAAAAGCAAGGGCATTGGCCGGGACCACGCCGCGACCAGCCCGGGATTCGAGCCCAGGACCATTTTGGACCGTGCTTCTTTTCCCGCGCGGGTGGAGAGGGTGCCCCAAGATGTAAATCAATTGGGATGGCAGAATCTTGGACAACCCAGGTCGCAATCACGTCGCTTTTAGGTCGGGATTTCGTCACTGCAACAAAGGTCCGGAGGGGTAGGGGAGGTAAGGTCTAAGGCTAAGGCTACGTCTAAGTCTAAGGCTGAGGCTAAGGCTTAAGTCTAAGGCTAAGGATTAAGGCTAAGGCTAACATCGACAGTCACGCCTCACGCGTGGGGTCAGCGGATTACCGGGCAGTGGCTCAAATAGTAGCAGAGAAATGTCCTCCCTTGTCGGGGAGGCTGACATGGGACTGGCCTGCGTTGTCATGGCTACTGCTGGCTTGCATCTATTACCATAGGAAACCGGATGTGTCTACCGCACAGTACCTGCAAGGGAGCCTGCTAACCTTTCCCAACAAACGCGTCTCCGTCACTTCCGTGTTCCCCCAATGAACCATATCCACCACAGCAATGAAGGTCGCCCCACCACCAGGAAGAGTTGGCGGAGGTTTTTGAACACGGCTAAAGGAAATTATGTGCATATAATGTATTTAGAATACAGCTGACCCAACCTTCAGCCATCTCCATGCGACCATTGCCGCGTGTGGAAAAGGTCCCCTGCGCGCTTGTCCTGGTTTTCGTTTCCTCCTTCTCAGGTTTGCTTGCATAGCTGGCTCAGGGCCTTGCAATCGTCGATTGTGGGATTGTAGCCAGTTTCTTTGTCACATTCTTGAACACAAAGAGATTGTTCAACAGAGATGTTTTTCCCGAATGCGTAGCGAAGGGTTCTCGTTTAACTCTTGGGGGTCTGGAGGTAGAGCCTTGTTCGCGACCCGTTGCTTCTATGTTCGCAACCGTCCGCAACCGTTCGCAACCGTCCGCAACCGTTCGCAACCGTTCGCAGTAGAGCGCTAAGGCGCTGCCATTGGGGGAAGCTTTTGCAAGTGACTTTTCATGGATGTGTCACGTGTCAGTTTGCGCCGCTATTCCATTGTGATTTGCACGAAAATGAGATGTCGCGCAAGAAACGTGATGCGTTTCGCTGCACAGGCGCAGCGTTTTGTGAGATCAGCAGATTGCTGCGCAGTTCCATTGGGATTAGCGTTTGGAGAGTCGTGTTTTTGGGGTGTTGGATGTGGCCGTGCCATTGGGATTTGCGTTTCAGGGTGTGGCATCGAAGCTCTGTTTTCGTGACAAGTCTCAGCTGAAATGCCGATTTTGGTGGATGGGAGTGTGCTCAGAACGGGTCGAAATCATTGCAAACGTGTGGTGTGGTGCAAATTTTGTTGAAGCTCACATGAGATGACATTGTTACTTTTCGTGGCAGGCGCAGTACTTTGTGCGGGTTTTGAGGTGTGGAAGTGGGATTTTCGTGGCAGGCGCAAGGAACCGTGAGGTTGCGATGTGTGACGGAGGTGACATTTCGTGGCAGGCACAGTACTTTGTGCGCGTTAGGCGTGTGGACGCGGAAAGATTCGTGGCAGGCGCAGGGAATCGGGAGGTTGTGCGTTGTGGTAGAGGTGAATGTCGCTGTCGCATTGGGATTGGCGTGTGAGCGGGTGTCGTTTGGAGGGGCTGGACTCGCGAAACTGCTTGGCAGGGCTGCGTGATGTGGGTGCTCCGATGGGTGTTTCCGCTGGACTTTTGGAGGAAGTCTCGTGCGAAACGTTCGTTTTGCAGACTTTGACATGTGAGTTTTTGAGGAAGTCTCGTACGAAACGCTCGTTTTGGGGACTTGACATGTGACTTTTGGAGGAAGTCTCGTACGAAACGCTCGTTTTGGGGACTTGACGTGTGACTTTTGGAGGAAGTCTCGTATGAAACGCTCGTTTTTGAGACTTGGCGCGTGACTTTTGGAGGAAGTCTCGTAAGAAACGCTCGTCTTGCAGCCTCGCAGCGTGACTTTTGGAGGAAGTCTCGTGCGAAGAGTGTGCCCTACAGGAGTGTCCCACAAGAGTGTCCTACAAGAGTGTCCCACAAGAGTGTCCTGCAAGAGTATATCCCACAAGAGTTTCCTACAAGAGTGTCCGACAAGAGTGTCCCACAAGAGTCTCCTACAAGAGTGTCCCCACAAGAGTGTCCCACAAGAGTGTCCCGTATGAGTGTCCCACAAGCGTGTCCCACAAGACAAGTGTCCCACAAGAGTGTCCCGTATGAGTGTCCCACAAGAGTGTCCCCCATGTCCCACAAGAGTGTCCTAAAGAGTGTCCCACAAGAGTGTCCCGTATGAGTGTCCCACAAGTGTGTCCCACAAGAGTGTCCGACAAGAGTGTCCCAAAAGAGTGACCCACAAGAGTGTCCTACAAGAGTGTGCAACAAGAGTGTCCCGTAAGAGTGTCCCACAAGAGTGTCCTACAAGAGTGTCCCACAAGAATGTCCTACAAGAGTGTCCCGTAAGAGTGTCTCACAAGTGTGTCCCACAAGAGTGTCCCGCAACCATGTCCCACAAGAGTGTCTCACAAGAGTTAAGAGTGTCCCACAAGAGTGTCCTATAAGAGTGTCCCACAAGAGTGTCCCACAAGAGTGCCCTACAAGAGTGTCCCACAAGAGTGTCCTACAA